TGGCAGTCGGAGCATTTGATCTTGTAAACTGCTCCCTGTCTGTCGTTAGGTTCGTCTCTGTCTTTCACGTTGGTCAGTAAGTGTCGTAACGTAGTTGTAAGTTTGTGGGCTACATGACTGTTGTAGGGCTGTAGGATCCGTGAGATGGTCTCAGAAGTACCCTTAATGTAAGGTATAGTCACTGTAGTAACGAGTGTTGGGTTCCTGTTCGTTGCGTCAGCTTCAGTAGATCGGTAAATGTTTCGTCTAATAAAGTCAGCGTTGTAGTTGTTTTTGTGAAAACACGTTCAAGGTACTGTTTCGTCACGTAAGCTGTCCGGTGTGTCACAAACTAGTTGCGCTCGTCTCCTTTAATTCTTTATAGTCGTGGCTTTGTGTGAAGTCGGGTTGTAGGATGATTCGTCAAATAATCTGTCGGTATGCGTCGGTTTTCTGTACACTGTCGTTCGCAGTTCGTTGTTGTCGCGGCTTACCAAACAGTCTAGAAAAGGAAGTTTTCCATTTTCTTCTATCTCTTTAGTAACCTGGATGTCGGCGTTCTGTTCGTTTAGGTGGTCGTGAAAATCGTCACTTTTTTGCTTTGTGAACGGCGGTAAAGGCGTCGTCATCGTAGCGTAACCAAAGCGGTATCGTTTGTCGGCAAGTTGCAAGGGCGTGTTCCTCCACGTGTTGCATCACTATTTCTGCGACAACNTGTACACTGTCGTTCGCAGTTCGTTGTTGTCGCGGCTTACCAAACAGTCTAGAAAAGGAAGTTTTCCATTTTCTTCGATCTCTTTAGTAAACTGGATGTAGGCAGTTTACTATGAAACATGCTAAAGATCATAACCGCCTCAAGATAAATAACATTTATAAACGACAGTGGGACCATTTTCTTCATCACATCACCTGTATTTTTTTTAGATGGTATGAAATTTCAAGAAATAATTAGAGAATTGTACTTAAACATATGGAAAACAAAGTAATTCCTTTTTTCCTTTCTCCAAATATTGATATCATCAGTTCGCAGTTATTCATGTGGAACTCTCCCGATCACAATTTTGATTTGCTGATAATCTGATTAAATTAATCCTATGTTCCGCTAAGGCTCGTGTCATTAGAGAAAGGCAGCCCGAAGGCGTAGGGATCAAAGTGGGTCGAGCTCAATAAGATATTCAAATTAAAATGTATCACTTATTTATGTCAAAGAGTTACCGACACTCTGTTATCTGCTATGGCTATCGCCGTTCGATTGATTGCAGCCGAAAATAGATAACAGTAAAAAAATAAGCGATTGTGATTTAAAAAAAAAAAAAAAAAAANTCAGTTCCCTTGCACTCTTTTCCGAGTCGTTAAAAGACGTGTAAAATCACCTCCCTACTAGCTTGACAACGCGAAGGTCCCCCTTCCCGGGGTACACCCGTAAATTTCGGATAGGTGTGTGCCGCTACAAGGGAAAAACAAAAACTAAGAATGGTATGAGTGGGTCGACGTTATTTCGTTTCTGTAACACTGGAAGTTACGTGTTAAGCATACATTTGTTTTTCGTTTAGCTGGGCATTTACGCTCTGGAATTTTAAATTATACAATTTAGGTATCCCGTCTAAGGATCACACCGGGAACACGATGCCAACAAGTGCAAAAATGATCCGCTCTGTGGATCGAGAACCTCAAAAATCCTGCGGTACCCTGTCCCGCGGCACATACCTATATAGCCCACATATAGGAGTACCTCCCCCCGCCCCAGGGGAGGGGGGCATAAAGGCAATAGTTAAATCTACTTCTTGCTTGACCCGACGTTGATAAAATGAGTTTTGTTTGTCTGTGCTTGCTTTTGCTGTCACTGTGACTGTTGCTTTTTTTGTTCATAGCTCAGTAATAGTCCTTTGTAAGTTAACAAACTTAGACTATGTCCCACCTGATTAAGGACAATGAATCCATCCAGATTGATGCTCGTTTTTCTGGCACAGTCTTGACAATAAACTAAATGCTTCTTGTTGTCGGTCACGAACAGTATATTGAACACCTCCACCTGTTATGCAAAGAACGAAGTAAGAGTTAAAAACAACTGGGGAAAAAAAGTGACATTATCTGGGAAACAGGAAAAGTTACACATGAAAAATTAAGGATGGAGGTTTTTGGCGAAAGAAACAAGAACTCAGGGCTGGAAATCTTCCTGTTCTACAAAGCCTAACGCTTGCGACCTGAAGGAGCTCAATCACGGTATTTTGGCCACGTACAAAATAACCTTTAAATTGAAGGAAACTTTAAAGTAGCAATTTACTAAGACAGAAAAACACTTAAGAGATAATAACAAAACCATAAAAGAATGGTTCAGGATCGAAAAGACTGACACGGATTACAAACAATGAACTTGAAGAATTTAAGACACGCAAACTTTCAACATGCACAAACCGTGGAGTAGCTCCTTTACAGAGTCATCAATAAAGGGAATATGATTAATAACTGTATTATTCCGGGAGAGGACCAAAAAAAAAAAAAAAAAAAAAAGACGCAAATAAACAGAAAGCTAGTGATCTATCCATCGAAGAAATAACTACACCATGTAAGCATATGCTAAGTGTTTAAGATGACCATAATGCATGCAGGCATACCGTAATATTCTCGTTTGTTTTCCTGTTGTCTCCGCCAGTTTCGTACGTTTTCTGGCGCATACTCCTCCGATAGACCGCTGTCCCTCTTGCCCCATCGCAGTGCATCCTGTTGGCTCACAGCTGGTTGGACAAGGAGCAGTAATACTGCGCATGTCAGGAGAACGATAGTTGTTTGCGCCTTGGAAACCATCTGCCGGATTAAAATTGTTGTAACAATAAAAAAATGTTAACTTCACGGAACCCTGCTGAATTAGAGATCTTAGTTAGGTTAAAGTATTTTACGGGCAAAGGTAGTTTATCAGAACAGCCCTTAACTTCCCCGAATGTAGGTCTCGCCCATCGAAGGTGACAACGCCCCACCCCGGAATTTTGGTCCGATCTTGGCACCGCGAGAATGAAAGTTTGCACAAGAACCAAACATAACTCTCATAACTCTTTTGACAAGAGGGTGCACTAAAGGAAGCTTTATCCAAAAAAACCCTCCTGCTTTTTAAATAGTCTTTTCCAGCGTGGGTACTTTTTGTATTCGTTTGAAAGTTTAGCTCTACCAGCTATAAACTGAAAGTCCTCATTCAGTACAACAATGTTGTGTTTGCAGGTGATAAACAAATGAGCCTGTCCTGCCTCTTAAGCTAAAATATCTCTGCTACTCAGTGGTACTTTATTTTAGAAACAGGAACACAAAGCAGGCGCGGAGACTGCTAGTAATGTTCGTGAGTGTATTTTGAATCTTGCAATATCTCCCCTTTAGCCGATTAAGTGGTGTAGTGTCTTAATTATTCAAAGCAACCCGCTTGACGGAAAATAAAGCAGAAAAGAACTATGAGAAAGCAGTGTTATTAATATTTTTCTAAGAGATCGATGTAGTGAAAATAAGTTTTATATCTTACTTTGTTCAAACAAAACAACACTTAAAGAAAAGGCAAGCGCTTAAGCTAACTAATGGATGACTTGAACGAGTTATAAACAATCCTACTTTACGGTCAGTTCGAGTTCACTGGTGAATCAACAATAGTTCTGTCTTTGCATTGTCACGACGATTATACATCATTTCTGTAATTCTGTTCACGTTTATTTTCATTTAACCATTCACTACGACCGTGAACTGTTTAGTCAGAATGAAACGACAAATATTTGTTTTCAAATTCGTGACGACGTACATGAACGAAGCCAGTAGTTTGGAACAAACTCGCAACAAAAAACGTTATTTACCAAAAATTAAAAAAATATATGATGTTCCGTGTTCTCTAAAAACAATAATAAAGCACATTCAGCTCCAGTAGCGAGTATAAATCAGCTATATTGTTAAAAGAAAGATAAACACAGCCTGCTATCTCTTTGTAGCAATAAACGGAACTTACAGATTTTAAGGCCTCCAATAGAAGGCGGAGAACAAATCGAACATTTTAACTGTGGTCTTCAAATGTTATCATAAAAAAAATCATGCTAAAATCTATTTTGTACCAATTAGCTACGTTTAAGAAATTTAGCTGAGAAAGAACTTTTTCCTTCGTGAACTTTTAGCTGTAAGTAGAACCAAAACATAGGCGGACCTACCTTAACGTTTGCGATAGAACGTTTCAGAACCTCTGAGTCGTATGAAAGAGATGTAAACACTATCAACATTATATATATTTGCTTTCTGTAAACTAATTTAGCGTAGGTAGAACACCTTTCAGTTTAAGAAAGACGCCTTAAGATAATGTGATTATACGAAAACAAAATGCTTGTCGAGTCGGAAACTACACGCTAATTTGCGGTTTCATTCCATGTTTCCGTCTCGACAGCATATGGCGATTCACATTCAAGCAGCATCTCATTGTTTTAATGAAAGCTAGAATGACTCCAATATTCCTGATCAGCGTGCGCCATTGCATGTGAATCAGGTAAAAAAGAACTTTTCACATGTTTAGAAGATTGTTTTAGGTCGAAGTTTCCGGTAGACATATCGGAGTCGTTAATTAAAACCCTTCTAGCTTCTTTTCAAGGGTTTTGGATAAGGACGATTGGAAAGTTCTTAATTTTAGCAATAAAGCTGGTGAAAATTTGAAGTTTTTCCCAACGCTTCTTACACTTTTTTCATTTTTTATTTTTTTGGATTTGCACAATTTGAAAATAAAACATTGCCACAGAAAATAATTTCTCCAGTTAAGTTGTAATGGGATTTGAAAGCAATTTTAAGTTATTTCCTCCTGGGCAAAGAAAAATATCCATAAAGTGTGATTAATGACGGCTCTTTAATCTTTCATGATAATTGGTTCGCACACAATTACTAATATCCGTTCGAAAACAATTATTCCTTTCAGAAATCTGTCTGTGGAATATATATATCGAGCTAGCTCTAAGCATGCAGTTTTGCTGAAAAATTCAATTAGAAACACAACGCGGTCAGTTAGAGAGAATAAAAGGAGATGAGTTGTTATCCCATGCGAGTCGGGTGATACTAGTGAAGCAGATATCCTTGTGGCAGTCGGTCAAATCGGAGGAATGGTAGTAGTTATTTCGGAATAATCAAAAGAATATCCGTAGACTCGACTAATAGAGCGGTCTCGACTGAAGAACATTGCTGGCAGATCGCACATAGTTAATTTAATCTAGGATCATAACATTTGTATGGATTTGTGGGTTTTTTGATATTATCTTAATTATTATTTTCGGTATTAATGTAAATGATGTCGCACATTATAAAAAAAGCTAGAAACAAAGAAAACCCTAACAACCTTGACATTTCTATAAAATGTTTTTTTTCTTAATAACTTAGAAAAACAGTTAAGCAGTCTGGCGCGCCCCTCATCAGCCCCAATGTAAATTGGTTTTAGTTATGGAGGCTTGAAAACTTGGTTTGTAGATAATCTCGTTTCCCTTAGGTTATCTTACTTCATGCTTTGAAAAGGTTGTCCTTATGGCCATTCTACATCTTAGGCTTATCTTATTTGTTATTTTAATATATTTTTTAAAGAGGTGACATACAATTATTATGGGTGATCTGAACCAGGATATTGAATCTATTTTTGTTGCTTGCTTTTCAAATAAAACCAAAAAAAAAGGAAAAATTCTGAGAAAACGCTGATTCAGAGTATTACGACAAAAAAAATAATAATAATAAAAATAAAAGCATTTACGCAATCGAGCGCTAAAACAGAGGAAAACGAAAAGTATGGAAAACATAAAATATTGTAATGCAAGGTTTTGCCATCAAATGTATATACATGTAAGAAGGGATATTTTCAGAAAATGGAAAGCAAAGGATAAAATACAGCTACAATTGAGTTATATATTTAATATTTACTCTGAAGCATGACATCTCTTGACTAGTATTCACTACTAGGGTAAATTGATAACTCTGGAAGGCGGAGAATTTGCTTGTGGAATCCAGGGTTCACTGAGCTACGCTTTTCTCCTTTTCGCCATGAAGTTCTTCATAATGCTGTTGAAGTTGTGGTTTCGATGAAGTATAAAATGATTAACTAGCACTGTTAATTCGGAATTAAGGCACGACTTTTGAAAATGAATGGCATTTCATTCTTGTTCAAGCATCGTTTTCAGAAGTTTCGGACTAATTTATTGTATATTCCACATTCAGTTTAGAAATATCAATACAAAAACGTTTTATTAATTGAAATTTAATAGAAACACACTTTTCTCAGAGACTGCCGTAATTCGTGTAATATTATCTCAAAATTCCAGATGCAAATTTCAATTAAGTACAATTAACGCAGATGCTTTTTGTATAATATTTATTAATACAAAAACAGGTGACTAATTAAGATACAAAAAACTGAGGGAAACAGCAAAACCTACCCAGTCCTAATTAGTGTCTAATTTCTCCTTAAAACAACACAGAAGGGAGGGATGTGGTTTTGATATTAGCGACCTTAAGCAAACCACGACGGCAACGGCAACGAGAACGCCACCAAACAAAAGGTTTAATGAGCAGAAAAATGGCTGTGCACGTGCGTTAAAAGTCTTTTGTACATTTCTTAGCCGTCCCTTGCACAGCAATAACGTGAAATGACTAATTTCTGCATATTTTGTAGAACGCAAACAAAGGCGTCTAATTTTTTGTATTTTCATTTGGAATTGAACGCTGGCGTTACACATATTTAGCTTGAGCAAGTTCTGAGTCCATGAGACGCACTGAACAAATATCTAGACATTTGCGAAATTAGAAGGTAAAATATAAATCCATTTCTTACTTAGGCGTTGTCCACGGGGCTCGGTCTTCATTGCTTAATTAAGTTCTGTACTATTGTACCAAAAACGTTTTTCTAGTTGGTACTGAATTTATGTAAGTCACCCACTGCACACGCATCTTGAAAAACTTAGCCAAACGTTTTCAAGTTTGTCGTTCATACTGTCGTCTACTTTTCATCTTTAGCTTTTGTCTAGTTTAGTAGGCCATTATTTAATTTTTTAT